CATGTCTGTCTCAGAATTCCCCATTCAACGGAGAGTCTCTGACTGACTGACAGTAACAATATTAACCCCCCTTCTCTAAAGCACTCACTGGTTTCCTGACAATCTGCATCTTCTTGTGACGTTTCAAACCCTGCATTTCCCCGTTGTTCCCTTTGTGCTTCTCCACTGGGTGATGCCTCAGAGGCTCATCTCATTTCATTCCCAGCCCTGCTGGCAGTAGACATGGCCTGGAGTGAAGAGGCAAGACCAGAAGATACCATCCAGGACCTCATCCTGGGAAGGGCCTACTGCCATCCTGAAGATGAGGCACCTTGTGGGAAAAGGAAGAGACTCCCAGAAAAGATCCCATTGATGCCTACAGATTAAAATAGAAGAGCTTTGTGCAAGCACCTGGGCAAAAGAATGGTCCACCTGGACAGGAGGAAAACTCGTTTTGGAAAATAAGACATGCATCATCTTCTACACCAGATACTTCCATGAGCCTGAAGGAACAGGTACACAAAGAAAGAGCCAATAGAACTCGCGAAGTGACACCTCTGGAAATAGGGAGGCAGACAACAATCTGATGCCAAGACCACTGGCAGATGGAGCTTTGAAAGGAGAGAACAGGTTCCAGCATCTGAACACAGCAGGCATCCTGCAAGGTAGGGAAAAACATTTACTGACAACAAACAGCTGGGAGCTTTGAAGGGCTCACACCCAAAGGAGCTACTCTGGAATCTGCAGGTTGGCACTGGAGAGAGAGCTGGGCAGTGGAATGCAGAGTGTTTTTGTGAGTTAAAAAAAAAAAAAGGAGCATAAAACAGACAAGAAAGAGATTAGGTACACAGATGTAAAAATAACCGAAGCTCTGAAACACACCTGAGGGTTGCTGTGAGGGTGGAGGTATGTGCTTGCGCGTGTGCGTGTGTGTGTATTAGCCCACAGAGCACACACCCCATAACAGGGTATTTGTTATGTGGCAGGAAAGGTAAAGTCACATTGGAAGGTATCATAATCAACCCAAAGTCCACAGCATGAAATTAACAGATTAACACTGAGTGTTCATAGTGATATAAATAGTAAAGATAGACTCTCTCCAATTCAATTAAACATTCATATAAATACATTTACAAGGCATCTCAAAAAGCTGATAGGAAAATGGAATCAAAAACTGGGGGTGTAGGTATGTCCCACATTGGAGTACTGGGGTTTTACAACCTTTCTCTCACTCCTGGCTCCACTTCGCTGCCAATGTAGACCCTTGCAAGGCAGCAGTGATGGCTTAAGTAATTGGGCTCTCTGCCACTCACGTGCAAGATAGGCCCAGCACAGCTGCTGTAGGCATTTGGTTAGGGAACCAGAGTATGGGAGCTCTCTGGCTGTCTCTCAAATAAATAAATAAACTTTAAAAGTAAGTGTTTTGTTACAAAAGCAATCTTGAAAACTAAGTATAGAGGGGTCTTGGGAAAGTTCACAGAAAATGAGCATTATGCAAAACATTATGCACAGACTTTAAACATTTTTTGCCTCTAAACAAACTACGTTTTGCTTGAACTTCTTGAGTTTCAAAAACATATACACGTACATACATACAACACATATACAACTGTGCCATTAAATTCCCTGTGCCAGGGAATGGGGGAAGTTATACACCCCCCACCATCCAAGGATCAGGTGGAGATTTCTGTCCTGTTTAGAGTTCCCCAGCAAACAAGCAATGCTGCTACTGTTGATCTGCTGCTGGCTCAAGACCTTGGCCAAACACCTGCAGACAGGAACCCTGCCGTGTGTTCTGCAGCCTGGGCAGGTCTGCTTTCACAAGTACTTCCAATGCTGCTGCCTTACATGACAAAATTACATCTCAGGCAAAGATCTGCTTTTCACCTCACCTACATCTTCTTTCTTACACGCTCCCCAGGGGACCTTGAGACCTGTCCCCAAGCTGCTTCTGCCCCAGGCTCACCACAAACCAAGCACTAGGTAAGCCTAGAAGGAAATTACAGGCTTGCCTGACTTGTCCCCATCTGCACTGGCTTAGTAGAAAGTGTTAGGTGCCTGAGGCTCTCCTGGAAACCTGAGCAGCTCACTGCTCAGCTGCCTGATGCCTCATGTACTGGGCACACACACTAAGGCTAGTCGTGGTCCAAATGTTTCTGGTGTCCTTGGGGGGCACCAGGTTGAGTGCCTGCATTGTAGGAATGACCCTAGCAGATATTTATAAGGAACACAGGCTACTGCTGAAAGGAAGCCCATCCCAGTCTGATGTAAGAGCCTTAAATATCTTCCACGAATTTAATCTTTTTCTTTTCTTAAAGATTTATTTTATTTAAAAGGTAGAGTCACAGAGGGAGGGCAAAGAGACAGAGAGATCTTTGTGGAATCCCCTCTCGGTCTCCTGGGTGAGTAGTGGAGAGCCACACACTTAGGCCGCCTTCTGCAGTCTTCCAGGTACATTAAACAGCTTGCTTCACAGGAAGTGCAGCAGCTAGGACTCAAACTGGCATCTATATGAGATGTTGGCAACAGAGGTGGTGACTTAATCCACTGTGCCACGACACTGGCTCCATAGAAATGTGTTCGAAGGGTCCAATGTAGTAGCCTAGCGGCTAAAGTCTTCGCCTTACATGCACCAGGATCCCATATGGGTGCCAGTTCGTATCCTAGCTGCTCTACTTCCCTTTCACATACCTGCTTGTGGTCTGGAAAAACAGTAGGGGATGGCCCAAAGCCTTGGCACCCTGCACCCACGTGGGAGACATGGAGGAAGCTCCTGACTTCTGGTTTCAGATCGGCTCAGCTCCAGACATTGTGGCTACTTGGGAAGTGAACCAGTGGATGGAAGATCTTTTTCTCTGTAAATCTGACTTTCCAATAAAAAAAAAAATTAAAAAAAAACGCAACTGTCTCAAAACAATGATCTTGAGTTGCCGTGATGATAATAACTGCTTAAGAAAAGCAAAATATCTGGAATATCTAAATACACTGAGGGACAAGCATATTATTGAATGCCATGAAACCTTTAAACACAGTGTCTCATGAATCATGAGAAAGAAGGTCTAAATGCTGGAACACAAGGGGACAGAAAACCTTTATGACAAAGAACATGCCGGAGCTGATTTTCAGCAACCCCCCTTGAGGGGAGACACTGGCCTGCTCTGTGACAGACACAGGACGGCAGGGGCTGATGAGGAGGACACCTCCAGCACCGCCCCTAGCACTTACTGAGCTCTCCCTGTGCACCCCACATCCGATGAAATGCTGTTTGCTGTAAGGGCATGCATTTATTTACCTGAAAGAGCAACAAAGATAGACAGGAAGAGAGAGTAAGCAAAAGATCTTCCATCTGTTGGCTTACTGTCCACACGGATACTACCAGCCAGGGGTGAGCCGAACCAAAGCCAGGAGCAGGGAGACCCATCTGGGTTTCCGATGTGAGTGGCAGGGACACAGCTACTTGAGCTGTCACCTGTAGTTCCCAGGCACATTAGCGAGGAGCACTGTGATGTGGGATTCAGGCAGCCTAAGCAGCATTACCTGCCATGGGGACAGTGTTTTATTCCTCACAACAGCCCTGTGCACTAGACACCATTACTCCTTCACCCTAAAGGGAAGGCTGAGGCCCGAGAGAACTTTCTAAGTCACACACACAGGGGACAGGATACACATCCAGGGAACGTGGGAGCTGGTGTGCTTTCAACTGTTACATTGAACTGCCCCTTACTGAGTGTATATCTGCTTCTTACTGTATTCAGAGCTCCTGGAAGACACATCCAGTCTTTATATGGCCAAAGTTTGGCAGGCATTCTGCGAATGCCAGCTGTGTGAATGCCCCAGACTTGCAAACTACACACGATTAAACAGTAACTATTAATGGGAACAGCTACCCTCAAGTACTGGACTTTGCCCAGTGCCAGGCCTGATGTTGAAACTCATAACTGTGGTCTGTCTTCACAACTCCCCCATGAGGTGAGCGCTAGGATCCCTATTTTACTGAGGAGCAAGCTGAGACCAGGGGAGGTAAAAGGCTGGAACTCCAGCAGGATTGGCACGAAAAGCCCCTCTCCTCTCACTGCCAGTGGTACTGGAGGACAACAGCTGGAACAAGGCTCTGTACTTTAGCATTCAGCATCTATTCATGGCCAAGGCAGAAGAAAGATGTCACACAACCGTGCTGATGACATCATGCTTTTAGGAACAAGAAAGGAGGATTATTCCCTAATGAGCTGACTCCAAGTAATTTTCTGATTTATTTACTTATTTCAGAGAGAGAGAGCCGAAGAACCAGAAAGAGCGGGAGAGCAAGAGAGCAAGTGAGCAAGGGAGAATCTCCAATCTGCCATTTCACTCCCCAAATAGCTACCAGACAAGGGAGGGTCAGGCTGAAGGCAGGAGCCAGACACTTTTTCTGGGTTTTCACCATGGGGCATTGCAGGGCCTATGAACATTCCTGGCAACTTATATTGGCCATTAGCAGGGAGCTGGAGTATCAGCAGAGCAGCTGAAATTCAAACTGGTGTCCAAGAGGGATACTGGCAGCAACAGCAGCATTACCTGCTATGCCACATTATTTCAGCCTGATTCCAAGCAATTTTTTAAAGTCTCAACTCTACCAGGCCCCATGAGAGGTAGTATATGAGGGTGACACAAAAGGGTGGGCACAGCCAGACTCCAGCCTCACTGAGGTACATTCACTGAGGTTAGTCACACTGAGAGGCACCGAATTAGCAACTAAGAAGGTAAGAAACTGGCCTTCTGGGAGATGCTAGCAAAAGAGGAGCCAAAGAAGCGATGCCTGGGCCAGGTGGGTGGGAGGAGGCAGCATGACTGTGTACACTCTGGAGGGTTGCAGAGAGGGCTTGGTGGGAGCGTTGCCTTCCACCCATGACACCTCTGCATCCTGTGCTACATGGTGGCTGGGAGGGCACAATCCCAACACACTGAGGGACACACGAGGCCAGCAGGACAGACTGAGGGATGTCCCTGCACATGACGTTGGGCCCTGAAGCCCAGGGACTTACGTTTCTCTGGTGTTTGCACGGTGTGGAAGAGAGTCAGGGGCCTCTCGCTGCAGGACGGAGGCTTCGAGTCGCTGCTCTTCTTCCGGGACAGGTGCAGTTGGGTACTGCTGAGTGGCACATCTGGCACGGTGTTGAAGATCTGCCAACAGAGGTTCACAAGACATTACACACTTGTGCGAGCAGGGAAGAAAGCACGGACTAGAACCTGAGGCAGCAAGGTTGCTGGACTCCCGGACTCAGTGAGGAACGATCAGAAAAGACCACTGTCACCTACCCAGGACTTCATTTTAAACATTCGCTCCCAGACAGCAGCATGAGAGAACCCACTGGAGGCCCTCGTGGAGCACAGCCACTACTCACGGCCGCCTCTCACCCCTTCTGATCTCATTTCCGCTCCTCTCGCTGTTGCTCTTTCCAGGAGGAATGGAAGGCGGCCCGGAGCTCAGCCTAAGTTGCTATCAGTGGCACTGAAAGTGTCACTGCTCAGAACGAATAAACCAAAAGTCCCTTCATCTTTTTTCTCTGCTTCTATGTCCTGATTGTTAACTGCCTGCCCACTTGCCTACACTTCAAAACACATATTTAAGTCACATTGCACAAAGGACCAAGGAGCAGGACTCAGTTTCTCAACCCTCAAGTATCCTCAGATGCAGCTTTGTTCTTAAGCATCACAGCTCTGTGTTATTGGTGATGCTAAGCTTTCTTCTTGCTTAGAAAGAGTTGAGGGAAGAACATCTTTTTTTTTTTTCAAGCCCTGAATGACAGTAACATATAGATAGGACAGACAACCACGAGAGTAAAGAAATTTCTTCATGAGCTTTGTCTTAGGGACTTCAATTATTATTAAGTCCCTGGTTTTAAAAAATGAGAAGAAAATGACACATGAAATTTATGACAGCTCTGTTCATTTTTGCCTCAGCAGTTAAAGGCACAGCAGAACTGTCATTTTAACACATGGTACCTGCACGGAGCTAACCATGGTCACAGCAACCAGCACTTACTGAATGCACCCTGTGCTCAACATTTAGCTCTCTCAGTTCTTAGCAAACCTACACAACAGTTCATGTCCTCAGCATGCTATAATGAAAACCCGAGGCACAGAGAAGTTAACTTGCCACAGTTATTGTTGCTGATGGTAGCATAAGGCTTTAAGAATAATATTCATTCAATCAACACCATGCTTTTGAGCATCTACTTTGTACTGGGCTCTGAGAGTGTAACAGTGAATAAGGCAAATATGCTTCCTATGGTTAGGCAATTTGCCTTACAGGAGCTGTGGTTTGCTGAGGGCTTGCCCCAACAGGTGCTGGGTTAAAGGCTTTCGATGAATTCAGTGTTAGAGCAGTGGTGGGCATTTGGCACAGGCGTTAAGATGCCTCTCAAGACATATACCTCCCCATCCGCATGCCTTAGCGGAAGTCCTGGCTCTGCTCTGATTCCAGCTTCCTGCTGATGTGTACTCTTGGAGGCAGCAAGGAGTCAAGTAGCTGGGTTCCTAGGAGACCCAGACTGAGTTCTGGGCCCCTGGTTTCTGACTGGTCCAGTCTTGGCTGCTGTGGGCATTTAAAGAATGAACCAGGCAAGTGGAGACAGTTGTCTCTACTCTCTGTCATTCAAATAAAATGAAACAAATAAAAATGAAATATTAAAACATACTTTTTCAAGTTGAGATAATATTCTTTTTGTGGTTCTTTTACCTGACACATTTCAACAAACATTAGCATTTGCCCCTTTACTAAACATCTCCTAGGGGCCTGGCATGGTAGCCAAGCGGATAAAGTCCTTGCCTTGCATGCACTAGAATCCCATATGAGTGCCGGTTTGTATCCTACGGCCCTGCTTCCCATCCAGCTCCCTGCTTGTGGCCTGGAAAGGCGGTCGAGGACAGTCCAAAGCCTTGGGACCTGAACCTGCGTGGGAGACTCAGAAGAGATTTCTGGTTTTGGATTGGCTCAGCTCTGGCCGTTGCAGCTGCTTGTGGAGTGAATCAGTGGACAGAGGATCTTCCTCTCTGTCTGTCCTCCTCTCTGTATATCTGGCTTTCCAATAATAATAATAAAAAAAATCTCCTGGGACTGGTGAGATAGCCTAATGGTTAAATCCTTACTTTGCATGTGCTGGGATATCATGTGAGTACCAGTCCGTGTCCTGCTTGCCCCACTTTCCATGCAGCTTCCTGCCTGTGGCCTGGAAAAGCAGTAGAGGATGACCCAAAGCCTTGGAACCCTGAACAAACATAGGAGACATGGAAGAAGCTCCTGGCTTCAGATTGGCTCAGCTCTGGCCATTGTGGTCACTTAGAATGAACTAGTAGATGGAAGACCTTTCTCTGTAGCTCCTTCTCTGTAAATCTGTCTTTCAAATAAAAATAAATTAATTTTTTTGAAAAAAATCTATTGTAATATGATCAAATTAGCTCCCTTTGGATCTTCTCCAACAGTCAGCAATAAGAGGTTGATGGCTGTCAACATGACCCTTTCACTACGGGTGGCCCCAGCACACCTTAGAATGTCTCATGGCATTCTCTCTTTTGAGTGTGCATTTAGATGCACACTCACAAGCACAGGAAGCAAAGTCCTGAGAATGGAAAGAATGGCAGCCGAAACAGCTGCTATCCATGGGCTGGCAGGTCCTCAGGCTGTGGAGATGCCAGCCAGCTGGTGAAGTCAGTCTTGCCCTCAAACACAGCTGTCTGAAAGCAGCATTATCATATTTTCCCTGGGAGGTTGAAAATTTGCAGCTAGATAAATGGAATCTATGCATAGCTGAGTTCACCAGGGGTGAAGCGGAAGAAAGAGAAGGAGACTTAGAACAAAAGCCACAGAGGGACTCCTGCCTTTGGGAGCAGTAGAAGCCCTGCTAAGTTTACCAGGTCTATACAGTCACCTGGCTCCTTTTGAGTCTCCACAACAGGAAGCAGAAAGGGTACGGGTCGCTGAGCTCAAGGACTGCCACTTCCAAGAGGCATTCTTTTCCCTTTACAGTCCTCTGCAAACAACGTTAAGCCATGGCTGCGCCCAGAGTGACAATCCAACTGTGCACTAGTATCACTGACATTCAGAGACTTCTAAAAATCTTATTTAAGAGGTAGAAACACAGAAGAGAGAGTTCCCATTGACTGTTTCACTTTCTAAAAGCACACAAGGGCCAAGGCTGGGCTGCCGTGGAAGCCAGGAGAGAACACTGTGGTACAGGTCTTCTATGTGGCTGTCAAGAAGCCCATCATTTGAGTCCTCACTGCTGCCTCACAGGGTTTGCATGAGAGGTACCTGGAATCAGAAACCAGAACTGAGAATCCAACCCAAGGACTCCAAGATGGGGAATTCGAGCATCTTATCTGTAAGGCTGAATGCCTAGCCCTTATTTTACATTTGAATTTCACCCGTCAACAGACGAATGAGTTTCACTCTTCCCAAGACTAGTGTACGGTGGGGACGAAACAACTAAGCCATGAGCAAGAATCACAGGTTTGGATGGATGGATGAGAGGCTTCCAGAACAGCATTTACATGCAGCACAGCAAGAAGAGAGGGCAACTTGGGAGGGAGAATTTCATTCTATTATTTGGTTGCTTATTCTAAATGGTTATTTGAATGCAACAGAATCAGCTCCAGGAGGAGACATGGGTAAGTACTAACATTCCAAAGTTGAGTTTTCCCCTAAAGGTCAGATCTTCGGGACTCACTGTGAGCCAGCACTGTATAGCTTTCCTCAGAATTAAGTGCAACAACATGCAAGTGAGCACACTGCAGTTGTAAGCTGCCAGGAGTGGGACTATCATAATTAAGATGATGCATGCTTTTCCAAGGTGTGAGCGACACCTTCATAAACAATACCAAGTAACAGCAGAAGACACAGGCATTGACTAAGGAGCCTGGAATACCATTCCCTCAAACTCTCAGCATTCATTTAACAATGAAACTGAACACATGCAAAATGACTGACCAACTTTGAACCAGGCCCAGGGTTTCCCTCTGTTACAAGTTCAAATTGAAGTAAGATGCTTCAATTGGCTAATCCTGCACTTGAAAGTGCTGATATCCAATATGGGCACTGGTTCATGTCCCAGTTCCTCCATTTCCCATCCAGCTCCCTTCTTATGGCCTGGGAAAGTAGCAGAGGATTGCCCAAAGCCCTGGGACCCTGCACCTGTGTGAGAGACCTGGAAAAAGCTCCTGGCTTTAGATCAAATCAGCAAAGCTCAGCTCCAGGAGTTGTGGCCATTTGAGGAGTCATTCAGCAAAGATTTCTCTTTGTCATTTTCTCTGTAAATCTGTCTTTCCAATAAAGATAAATAAGTGTTTTTAAAAAAAGTTCAAGTTGGGGTTCTGATGAAAGTGTGTATTAGCCACTTTTTGATGGTGATGCCCATCCTATGTTGTTTGGAAATCACTTAAAAGGCATTTTCCTCTGTCAGGGAAGGGGCTTCTGCTTCAGCAGCCCTGCAGAGCGAGGGAAGGGACCTCAGCTGCAGAACCCAGGAGCCAAGGATCAATGGGGCATGATTGTGTGGCTGCAATAGGCTCCTCATTTCACAGTGACTTCCCAAGTTAACATAATGGGGGCGAGGGGGCAGGGAGGGACAGATTTACTCTGTGCCCAAGAGTCCTGTTAATATTGTCCAAACTTAGCAACTACTTCCAACTTACTTGCTTACAGAAGCAATGAGGAAGGCTATAAGCCTCCTGGACGCTACTGGGGAATAACAACTGTAAGATACAAATACCACCCTGGGCAACCTTTCCAAATATTGTCAATTCCAAAACCCATAAACAGCAAGCTGTTGCTTCCCCTGGAGCCAGCCACATGTGACAACTGTAAGGGCAGCCTGGCCACTGCAATCTGGCCAATCCAGCCATCTTGGGTTTCTTGGTTACTCAATGGGTAACACTTAAAAGTGATACTGATCTCACCATAACTGACAACCACGTCATTTCCATAGTGCCATTTAAAATACAGGAAAGGAATGTAAAGCTATTGTATGGGTAGACAGAAAGTAGGTTTTGAAACTAAATAGACTTGTGGCTTGGCTACCTTTAAGCAAATTTTTTAGATCCTCTAAGCCCATTTTCCTCATGAAATGGTAATCTAATAATCGCTACTGCAGAACTATGGAAAAGAGCATGCACATAAAATGCTC